TGTGTAAGGCTACCAACTAGACCTCTGGCTTCATCCTTTCCCTCCCTCCTTACTTTCCCTTCACTCTGATTTCCTCATTTACAGGTAATATACTGCTTTTAAAAATATGCAGATGACTTCCGTTTACTTTTTTGGACTAAGGTGGAACCTAGATGTATGGATTCAGAGTGCCTCTTCCTATAGAATGCCATCAAAATAACTTCAGGATAGTGATGTGATGGTTTAGGAGTGAACAGTTACTTTTACAGCTGTGATTCACCCATTTTGGTGCTCAGTTTTTTAAAATAAAGTGGAGGAGGCTGGGCACAATAGCTTCCACTTGTAATCCTAGCACTCTGGGAGGCCAAGGCAGGAGGATTGCTTGAGGATGGGACTTTGAGACCAGCCAAAGCAAGAGAAAGACTCTGCCTCTACATATCCATATGAATGATAAAACACAACTATAGTCCAGAAAGGAGGATGAAAGAGGAGGGAGAGGGGAGGGGAGGAGGATGAGGGGAAAGAGGGAGGATGGGGAGGAGGGAGGGCATTTGGTGGGACCTCACCTGTTGTGCACAATGTGATGGTATGTTTCAAAAACTATTAAGAGTAGAGTGTAAATGTCTTAGCACAACAAATAAGTGAGGTGATGGTTAATTGGTTTGATGTAAGCATTCCACACTGTATATCACATCAGCGCATTGTACCCCATAAATGTGCACAGTTACGATTTAATAAAAAATTTGTTTGGGGTCTTTCTTAGATAGCGTTAGCAGCTTCCTCAGTTTTACATTTAAAGCAAGGCCATGTCTGGTCATTCTCCCCTCCTATTTTCTTCCTGGGGAGACACAACTGAGTCAACACTTGAACGTATACATCTATCCTTTCAGTAAAGAAAGATGACTAAGTGAACAGTCTTCTGCAAAGCAGCGGCCACTTCCTTCTCTGGTTTCCAGAGCATGGTTTCTCCAGAGTAGCAGCATTAATGGGCCAAACTCCAAATCCCTTCACGTGGCCGATGGAAATACCTGGGACTCTGTGTGACCCTTGTGCCAATCATGCAGCCTCTGGAGTCCCTGCCGGCCCCAGGGCAGCCTTCAGCTTCCCATTCAGACTTTTGCCTGTCCTATGAAGTGCGCACAGCTCTGGCCTCAAACCAATCTCATTGGATGAGGATTGCTCCTCTTGGGCCACATCTGGGCTACTGACACGATCAAGTCCCTCGCCAGGCTACTTGTAAAACAGGAACATGTGACTTGAAGGGTACAGGAGTACTTTAAAGATATCTTGGAAGGGGGCTTGGCACCTATAGCTCAACCGGCTAAGGCGCCAGCCACGTACACCTAAGGTGGCGGGTTCGAATCCCCAGCCCGGACCCGCCAAACAACAATGACGGC